AATTTGGTGGGTACATTTATATGAGCCACCATTTCGGATTTCATCACATTACAATCCAATATGGCAGACTTCCGGTTTTTCTGGAAATGCCAGCAACTTTGTTTTGTCAGTGGGAACACCCTGTATATTTTTACACATTCAAGTTCAACAGTTCAGAACAGGTGCAATATTTATGTCAAATGTAATTTTTTAGAGAAGTTTAGATAAAAAATTATTATTTTATTTTACCTCCTAGATAAATGAGATGTGGTCAAGTATATTCACAATGAGCTGAGCCAGATTCAAAAATGTTGTTTTTCACAACTCACTCAGTTGAAATATTATCTGAACTTCAATGAAATTCCTGAACTAGTTGTTAATTTTTCAATGTATACAATTTGTTATTGCACCAAAATACAAAAATGATATGTAATTTTTTTCCTTAATATATGTTCTAGAGACATGTAGGTGGCCCATTCGCGATAAAAATAGGCGTACGTCACCTGTCGGAGTTCTTGAAAGCTGTCAAAGCGGCCTGTTCACTTTGTTTTCATTGGTTGACATTTATTATTTGTTTGTGCTTATTGGTCATATCATCAAAACAAACCGCTTAGAAGTAAGTTGTTGCCGTCAGGTGGGGCGACGTGTTATTTTTTATCGCGAATAGGGGTTCAATTCCACCCGGTATAGGCCCGAAACAAGTTCTTTCCCAGCTGATCTTTGATCGGCAATAAAAGTTGGGGAAGTTGAGTTCAGGTTTCCATATACGATCCATTAAAAATATTGATGAATCAGAAACAACGATATAATCGCACCCCCTAACGATTTATAGTGTAAGTTTCATCAAAGTTGCCTACACAATCAATCCTATATGGAAGTTGTATCGATTTTCATACTTCCCAAGTTGCAGCTTCCCATCAGTTCCTCTTTTATTGATTCACTATAGTAGATACCGAATGAGAAGATATTAGGTGGCGCTGCATATAACGGAATGTTCTCGCTGGCAAAATCAGATGGCGCCTGGTTCAGAATCGTAGACACATTGAAGACTTGTGTGAATTCGGACATTTCATATTATGAGTTTGGCTACAGAGGTGTCAAATGTTAAATGTGAATGATATCGGCGCCACTATCGAAAATATTGTATTTCAATAATACCAATAACTTTTGAATTGTCAATTATCGAAAATGAGAGCAAGAAAAACTTCTTGAGCCCTTTATTTCCCAATAATGGCCTATTGTTTAGTGATCAATATGGATTTCGTAGGTCAAAAGACACGGAGGTAGCTGTGATGAAGGTCATTTCAGATATTCAAATACGAATAGATGACAATCACAAATGCGGCATTCTGTCTTTGGATCTTAGTAAGGCCTTTGACACTGTGAATCAATATTTTATTGACTGAACTATCATCAATAAGTGTCAGAGGAAAAATTCATGATTGGTTTCAAAATTATTTGAAAAATAGAAAACGGTATGATGATGTGAATAATTCTTGTAGTTCCTCGATGAATATTACATATGGTGTACCACGAGGATCAGTTTTGGGGCCACTTTTATTTTTAATTTACATCAACTCAATATCTACTTCAAAATTGGAAGGAAATCTAAAATTATTTGAAAATAATACAACAATAATCTATACTTCAAAAAATTTTAACGATATCAATAATGATATTGAAAATGATTTGAAACAAATATCATCTTGGCTAACGACCAATTAATTATAGCAAATCTACGTATATGTACATCTCACGAAGAACAACGGACATATTGAATAATTCCCAATATGTTTCGATAAAAAATCCATTGAATATAAATGTAACAAAATTTTTAGGTCTTTATATTGATGAACAATTATCGTGGACTCTACTTATATCATTTGAGGAAAAAATTGAATCCTATTACCTAAGAGTATTTAATTCTGTCTTTTTATTCAAATTTACAATATCTAATATCTATTTGGGGAAGTACAAAATATTTCACGTTTGAAGCCACTCATGAAATTACGAAATAAAACAATAAAGTGCATTTTCAGTTTAACTTTTTCAAAATCAACTGTAAATCTATACAAACAATATACAATCATATAAACTAAAAATTTGTTGTTTTATTCATTTTGTCAGGAAGGCATTGAAAATATCAAATTTGAATTTTAATGAAGTTAATAGGATTCACGCCCATGAAACAAGGCAATTTAATTTATTGATAGCAAATAATTATAAGTCAAATTTTGGTAAACAATCAATATGCCAAAGTGTAATAATTTTATATAACTCCCTACCTAATGAGTTGACAAATATAGAAGGAGCAGAAAAATTTTACATCAATTTGAAGAAATATTTGTTCATTAAACTTCAATTCCATATCTACTAATCATTCACAATTTGATAACTTGAAATGGATTATAATATTTTCATTTTATATTTTATTATAATTTTTATTATGAAAAACAATTATTGTGCAATTATTATTGATTATTATTATCATTATTTGATGTATTATGTTATATGTATGTTTTGATGTATATATCCCTATTGAAAACAATAATGTTTCTTGGGGTAATAAAGACAATCAAACTATTCATTATTTTCATTGACAAAAGACAATGCGTTCGACAAATAATACCCAACTTGACAGTAACTGCTGTCAACAAATAGCAAAAATGTTTCACTCTTCACAAGTGAAATATGGTCAATTGCCTTCAATATCTACCAATCGAAATGAAGGTATATACTGATTGTTTCTGAGGATGAGTTCCAAATTCAGTGTCAAGCACCATGATGCACCGCTCTTATATTATATTGGTTAGTTTCCAATGTGATTATACAATAGTATACGTCGAGCTTTCTCAGGGTTTGAAATATTTGCACTTATTTCAATGCCACCCTTACTATTCACGAGATTACCCTTAACAAGAAAAAGTAATGAACTTCATTAAAATTCTCTTCAGTTTCCTTGAAATACCTTGTGTTGAATAGGTTGATAATATAAGATGGGCATTGGCACCATAATTTTGATTAGTATCAACATCATAAACTTCTTACTTGGCTGAAGAAGGACTTTTCTTAGTCCGAGACATGTCCCCTTGAATAACTGTTACATCATTAAAAATGTGTGGAGATCACTTTGAGCTATCCTTCTTCCCTTTTTTTAACATTCCACTCCACTTTGAGTAAATATGGACTTCTACCAGAGATTAACATGAAACAAATTTAAACATGAAATTATGACGATGGGCTTTGTCACCATAATTTAAATTAGTATCACCTCCATAAATTTCTTACTTGGGCTCAAGATGGACATTTCTGAGTCTGAAACATGTCTCCTTGAATGATTGTTACATCATTAAAAAAGTGTGGAGATGGCATATCATAATCACATCATAATCCAACATTGAATAATTGGATGATGGCTTGGTTCTTTTTCAATCACCGTGTAATTTCCATTGCTTCCATGTATATTTTTTGTGATATTCATAAACAAGGTCCGCTTCCATAAGTTCCGTCAATAATTCCTCACAATGTATTTATCCATTAGGAAATTCAAAGTCAGTGTGACAGTATATCATCCATGATTTACGTAATATATAGTCAAAAGTTTAGTAATATTAATTTTTTCGTTTTTTTTTTTTTCGCCATTCGGAGGGATCTTAGGAGATATGGAGTGCTTTGTTCTTTGGTATCAGAATTCCACATGAACAGTTGGGCAAGTATTAAATAAAATAGAATCATGTATATTTGTATATTCAATCAGCTGTGCAGCTAAATTGGAGTTCTGGCATGAGGTGATACCTGCTCAGCTATTTTGGATTCAAAGTTCACTCATTCAATAATAAGGATAAGATAAATTAACGGTTTGAGGCAATATCAGAAGACCACTGTTCCTTGGCCCATGCTCAGGAACGACATAAATTATGTTCATACAATTTTGATTCTTAATAGAACAGCAAAGCAGAAAGATCTATTATACACTCGGCTATACATTTATAATATACACTTTCCTTTTCATATAAAATGTAACTTTCAAAGAGCACTGTTATAATCAATTCGCCGATTTTTCAAATGAAGTTCCTAAAATCTGAGTATTTGGTTAGTATGTTGTCTGAATATGGCATATTTCAATCGTTTCCCACTACTTTGAGAATGGTTTAGCAACCTTCCATAGTAGATCACTCCCAACCTATTCCCTTCAATACGCCTTCCTTGGATTCATGAGTGTGATATGACAGATCCTGAATACGCATTAATCAGTTTCACCAGTTTGATCTCCTGAGTGGCTCACCTTTTTTCTTATGGCGGTGTAGGGTGATTAGTGTATATGCCAGTGCTTTCTCCCTCTACAGGGTGTTTCAAAAAAACCTAACCCCCTTGCTAGGGTAGGTAGAACATTACAAAATAAGTTGGGATTGCTCAGTGAAAAAATGTCCTAACGGCATCCGTTTTCAAGATTCAAGGTGTTGAAAAAATATTTTTTTAATATTATTTATTTATATATTTTTTTACACATTTTTTACGATTATGTCAAAACCACTGTCAACATTGTGATGAAATTATGTATGGATGTGTTCTAGAAGCTGACACACCGCATGAATTTGTTTTTATATCTGACACTCATAGAGGGCGCTACTTACAGGATTCAAACCGAGTACTTTCGAACATAACTTCTTTGTGGTTAGATTTTTCTGTCCAAACTCAATGTGAACTTAATCACCATTCAATTTCACACCAAAATGATGCTCTTGGTAAAACTTGATACTTTGTACCGTTTTCGAAAAATTTCGATTTGAAAATGCTGAAGCAATAACTCTGACTCTTGTATCAGAATAAGTATTATGATTATATATTATAGTAAAAAAAATATTTTTTCAACACCTTGTATCTTGAAAACGGATAGATTTACGACAATTTTTTCACTGAGCAAACCCAACTTATTTTGCAATGTTCTCCCTACCCTAGCAAGGTGGTTAGGTTTGGTGTCTGAAACACCCTGTATATCCCTTTCAATCTCCCAAACTCACCTGAACATCTCTTGACACGACTCCGCCTCCTTCTTCACTTCAACCCCGTCCGCCGCGCCCTCCTGCTTCTCCCCCTCCAAATCAGCCCCACCCCCTCCTTCCCTCCCGCTTCCCTCGTCCCCACAGTACCCGCCCTTCCCGACATCGGCGGCTTCCGGCGCCGCCGCCTCCCCGAACCCCAAAAAAATCTTGGACGGTTTCCCCTCCTCCGAGGGCGAAGCGTTCCCCTTCTCCTCCACCTGCGTCACCACGACGGAGGCGCACACCACCATGGAGGTGGAGGATATCACAGAAGTGCCGGTGCCAGCAGCCGCCCCGCTGCTAGGGCTCGACTCCGGATTGGTCGCGCAGAGAGTAGGCGTTGCCGTAGGGGGCGGAGCGTTCGGGTTCGGGGGCGTGTCGGGAGGTGGGCAGATTGGGATGGGCGTGGTCGGCGCTGCTGGGGGCGTGGTGGCGGAGGAGGCGTTCGATTCTGAAAGGGGCTGGGCGAGGTCGGCGGTGACCCCTTGCACTACCGTCCTGGCTTGCTGTTCGCGTCGCAGTCGGGTCGTCACGCCTGGAAAACGGTGGAAATGTGAAATTACAATTTAGTTCACCCAACCCCTGTACTTTCGTATGCCTAGGGCAATTTGATTTTTTTTTCTCATAATATACAGAGTGTCACTAAAAGTTCTTTACAGAACCTTGCCACATATTTCTCAGACTAAAACAATCTGATTCAAGCAAACTTTCCTCAGTACATAGATGCTTAGTTTGGGCGCTAGGAGGCTCTGCTTCGTAAAAAATTGCCTTATCCGTTTTCTTTGATTTTTCCGGAGTTTTTGTGATAGCAGTAGGCTAAGAAATTGTGATTGATAATTTTTTTTGCTCGACAAAGTAGATAATTTTGAGTAGCATGAGAAAAAAATCTTAAATCGTCCTACGAATACGAAAGTACAGGGGTGATGTGGAGCAAATTGTAACACACACAAAGAAGAGTAAAACGAAGAAAAGAAAACTTTGAAATGTCTGCACAATTTCTGATGTCGAGGAAAAATCATAGGAGCGCATATTTTAGTTTATCTTCGGCCTACTATCATAGAGAGAAAAAATTAGCACATAGTGAGTGATTAGTTATATTCGTAGCAGTTTCCACCTATGAAACTAGACTGAAGTAGAGTGGCTCGAACATTTCATCACAAGCCCTTCAAAGAGTTTGATTAACCAAGTTAACTTTGAGACCCCATCAAACTTTGTTTGATTTTTTAAATGTGCGATTGTCACCTTTGGCAATTTAAGGGCATGTGGGCCCTTATAAGATTAATAACCCGACCCTTTTCATAAATAAATAAAAATTGTTTTTGTTGTTGTTTTTATGAAAAACAAAAAAAATTATAACTTATCATGGTGCATACGTCTTTGTCTTGTGCCCTTTTATTGTCCAAGTTATCAAAAGTTCAACTTTCTCATTCCCATAACTAATTCTTGTATTCGGCTGATGATGGGCTTATGTAGGCCTGAAACATGTACCTCTAAGTGATCGATCTCTGATCGTCCAATAAATGTTGTGAAGATGACTTTGGGTTTCATCTATGACTGATATCTTCAGTTTATAAATACCTAATAAATTTAATCTCAGAAAATACGCCACCAGCCAACAGAAGTGACTCACAGCTCACACTGGTTCATTTCTCTTTTGTTTTTATTGAGCCGAATTTTCTGCCTTTATAGGTACAATGCGGAAACCTATGATGGAATGAAATCCGTATTTCAATAATTGACATATACTATGAAAAATCCTGGAACCGGTCGATTTTTATTCTTGAAAATCTATTTTTTTACATACAAATTTTCAACCACCTGTCAACCTCCTACCCTAAACATAAACCCCTTTAGAATTTTTGAATTGTATAAGTGGCCAAGTTACACATTGATATACATCAAATCTCTGGTCCATTTTTCTTTCAAATTCGGTTGATATTCTTGATGCAATTTTTCTGCATAATCACGTGGGACATAAGAAAAAAATGTACTATTTCAAGTTATCGCCTATAGGGACGTGAATATTATTTGTTCAAATATCAGTCTGACAAGATTGAGTGGAGTAGATATCAACAAACAGATGTGCCAATTGAGAAATGAAAACAGCTAAGAATAGTAGATTGTTTTATTAGGATCAAAAGTGACACTTTGTTTGACAAGCGAATTTTGCATTTGCGAGGCGGAGCGTTAAGCGAAGCCGAGCGAAAGCAAAATTTGCGAGTAAAACAAAGTCACACTTGATCCGAATGAAACATGCTATTTTTCAGCAACCCAAAAAATCAACGAATATAAATGTGAATTAATCACCAATGCCGTGCCATATGTATGCAATGCAACAAATAATCCGTGTGGTGAGAATATTCTACCTGCATCAACAGCAGGTTTATTAAATTTTCAAGAATGTTCAAATTGTAGTTTCAATATAAATACAACCACAGAATGACATATTTGTGTATGGACCAGATGCTCTAATGGCAAATACCACGCCAGTGCCAGGTGGAAAATGTTGGGTTACTCCACTGTGTTTGGCTTGATAATGAAAAGTAGGTAAACAATATCGTTGTCTGAGACAAAAAACTATTGCTGGCCGTGATTATTCAAAAACAAGTTATCCATCCCGAGAATAACGAATGAAATACATATCAAGCAAGTATGTGAATCTTGAAGGCTTTCCTGATCAAAACAAAAATACTCAATTACAACAGTACAACTTTAGCTCCTAGGAACTAAATGTGTTGCCTAGCAACATACTCAATTTTGTGTCAGTAATAGAAACGTCAATTCAAAAGCTGATTTTGGTATCAAAATGGACGACTTTTGTGTCGGTTGCAGAAAAATATTATTATGAACAAAATAGTGGAAAAGGGGTACGTTAAGACTCACCAGAAGTTAAAATATCGACCACAGACGTAGTGGCGCTATTATTAACTTTCTGCGGGTTATTCCTCGAACTTCTCGTCCGCTGCCTCGCCTTCCTAAACAACTGTTTATAATTCTCCGTCTTTTTACTCAAATAATAGTACTGTACACAATCGGACACTGATTTCTTCTCCAACGACGCCGCTATCAGACCGAAGTTCTTCGGGTGTTGCAGGTACTTGTCTTTGAATATCTCTTTTTCACTAGCAGTCCACACATTCGAAAACTGTCTACTCTTATACACCGGCTCCATGTCCTCGATGAACCCGTTCGAGTTGTCGTACTTGATCCTCTTCGACTTTCTGTCGTGCATCATCGGCGGTATCACGGCGTAGCTGCGCATCTTCTTGTCCTCCATGGCCTGCTCCTGCAAGTTGTCCATGATCTCTTCCATGTCCGCTTCGGACTTGACGCGCGCCCCCACACGGTTGAATCTGGAAACAAGGTGATTTCTGTGACAAAATAATTAAACACTGACAAGGCGAATTGGGGCTCGAGGATTGGATGGGTGGATGTGGATAGATCACATCTAATTTTTTGATGGAATATGGAAGCAAGATTAGACATTCGACAGATCTGATCATTGCAGACATACTCGTCTGGCAAAAGAAATCAACTCATGGGGAAACCACCTATTCATGTGAATATGCGTAGAGGTTCACGAATATCCGAAAAAAACAAAGCAACACTGCCAAACTCGGCCTTCTACCTACCCAGACAGCACAGAATATTCTATGAAATTTCTCACAACTTCCACATTATATTCATAGAATAGAATATTCATAGAACATGATTACGATGTTCTAATTGTTCATAGAATGTTTTACGAGACTATCCATAGAACGTACCTAGAATATTCAATTATATTTTTTTTGCCATTGCATTACCTCGTTGGTCCCAGCACTGGGACCAAACGCCCCATAAGTCGAAACTTGTGCGGGGTTAGGTAAGCAGACACACACAAACATCCATGGCCTAACTAGGATTCGAACCTATGTCTCGGTGGGAGTCCCCATACGAACTCAGCGCCTTCACGCTCTCGACCACCGAGCCGCTATGAACATACCTGAAGAACATATGTAGAATATTCAAACACTACATTCTATGATCATTCCATGAATGTTATTCAGGAATGATCATAGAATGTAGTGTTTGAATATTCTACATATATGTTCTTCAGGTATGTTCATGGAATATATTATTTAGAATAGATTTAAGATAGAGAAATAGAAAAATGTTTGTTTCCTATGAACATGTCCTACCTTGCTTCGGTTTTGAGATAGAGGTAGTAAATGTTTTTGAAAAATTCGAAATTTTCATTGATTATTTAAGATCCTTTAATCTGATTTTGATAAAACTTATCATGCTCCTGCCGCAGCAATGGTGGAGTTGAATGTGAATTCAAATTTACCGATATTTTCCTTCAATTACTTTGGCAACTGTATAGCAGTTTTTGAGTGATGTTTTTTTTTAAAGTGTATGAAATCAATATCACCTATTGATCACTTTTGGAACTTACAGTTATGAACATATTTTCCTTATATGGATCTTTGAAATATTTTCCATGCGCATTAAGATATCCGGTATACTGAGAATATTCCTAGATCATTCTGAGGATGTTCTATACATACATAGAATGTTCTGAGAATGTTTTGAAAAATATTATGAGAACGTTCTTGGAACGTGAATTTTCGTCTTAGAATATTCTCAAAATGTTTGGTGCATATTCGAAATGTTCCACGGGAATATTCTAAGAACGTTCTCAGAATCACTTTGTGTTGTCTGGGTAGTTGCATGTTTGCCACACAAGTGGCTTTATCTCTATTAGGTACTCATGAATCTGTTGCATATTCACTTCAATATATGCTTTTCCATGGAAAAGTTTCTGCCAGTCGTGTATACAGTGTGCCACGCTCAAAGTGTAACCACCCTTTAATATCAAAGTACAAACTATTTACAGAATTTTTTGGATATTTTCTACTCACAACAATCTGCACTTGAGGGAATAACAGACTCAAGGTGATTCGCACAAAACGCCTCCATTTATATAGGAAATAATTTTCGAATCAATTCTGGAGAACATGTTTCCAACCTCAAATGAGAATTCAGTTATTGACAAAACGAACTGATATCTAATGATTCTTAGTCGATGGTTCTTTTTTTGTTACTTTTTCAACGTTTTGAAGAATTATTTCCCCACTTTGTTGAAATGTTCAATTTAACATAATAGGCAAGAACACAAACCTCGAATTCTGATGACATCACTCTGATATTCATGTCATAATCTGTCACAATCCAGTTTATGAGGAAACAAGAACAAGTGATATTTAAACTCTCTTGTTCAGATCATCCATGACATTGTTGAAATCAGTTAATTCTCAAGAGCAGAGAATGTTAAAATATCCAAGCAAGCAAGCTAAAGAATCGCTGTTTATCCCAATAAATAGTGAACTATCGATTTTTCTTCACTACTAATAGATGGTTGGCACGTTATAGTACTTGTCAGCGTCAGTACCACTGAAGCCTTTCCTTCGTGTTCTGACGTCGGGAACATCCATTTGGGACTTTATTTTGGGAAATCTAGAAGACATAATAAATTTTTAAAAAATCTCTGCGCCTATTCTCATCGTGATGAACATCGTCGGATTTTTTTCTAGAAATTATTGTTCTTGCCTTCATGGTGTGTGTAGATAAATCAAGAATGAAAAAACTGATATTTGATTCCATCAACGAAAGTATCTGTGACTTGTGAATAAATTCAAATTATCGTTTTGTGTGAATTTAATTCACAATTTAAACTCTAAGTAAAATATACCTCCTACTGTTTGGGTTCTCGTGAAAAATATTTCTGCATTTGAAGAATCCATGAGTGCATATTTCACATCAGATTTTATTATTCAAATAAGATTAGGCATCCGACAGAACCATCCTCCTATATCGGCACCTAATTCTTTTTTCAAAAAGGCCTATCAGCTGTTCCATGAACTGAGTTTAGTTCATCATCTCATATTAGGCCTTAATTTGAGGAAATGCTCTATTTTAAAACTAGATGTACGAAAACTGACTGCTTGAGGATCAATTTCTATGACAAACTCATTGCTTTGGAAATGTAACAAACAATTTTTGTCAAGAGGAATTAATCTTAGCTATTTTAAATAAATGCATATTTTCGAGAAAAGAACTTGTAACTCGGAAAAAATATCGATTGATATCAATGAGATGAAAAATGAACACTAATTTCTGTACCACTCATCGGTTGACTCTGTTAAATCAAAAATGAAGCTGTCACACTTTCATGAAAAAGTCGCTATTTGTTCACATGAAAATAATAATGAAACATCACATCTGCTGAAGCAGGAGTTCTATCTAGTTAGTTCATATCTGATAAAGCACTCTCATATAGTGAATATAAACTCTTCTGAAGGGTGAAATGTTCATAAAACTTTATTAAACTCACTTTACAGCTCACAAAATTGCAATAAGCTTTATGAAAATATAATTCATTAAATAGTTCTTCTCACAAAAGATACTTCAGAGACTCAAGAGTTAATAAACTACGGATACATCAGGCATTCCTTCAACGTGCAACTAATGAAAATAGTCTCAACTTTGAGAACAAACAATTTTCTGCGTGTTGTAAATCCAATCGGCACTATTCATCATTGAAGCCACAAAGACAGATTCCTATTCCAAAATATCTCATCAAATGATATTTTTCTAATGAAATATCCCATATCTTAGATCATTCTGAACAAAAAGGCCTTAAAGACAATGAGATTATTCCAGACCCACTCCAGACCGATCCTGTTTTGGGGCAAACAATGATGAAATACCGATTTCTGGGGCTGTACCGCATAGATGTGCATGGTAAAATTCTCACCCCAAACATAATAACATATTAAAATTATTAGTCACATTAATTTACCTTCCCACTGACTAAATTTGAATTTGAATTATAGCTGGTGGCCTGAAAATGCTTCAGTTTGATCCTATCATTGGGATTTCATGAATACCCAAATTATTTTGCAAACTTCACATGAATAAGAAACCGACTCAACCTCGATTAATGATGATGTTCTTTATATGTTAGTTTAACTGAATTATCTGTGATCTAAACCACAACAAGGTATATTTTATTGTACTAGATCATTTTATCTTGTATTCCATGTAGTTTATAGATAATACAAGTGATAAGTGTATGAGTCAGAATGAGTTTTCAAGTAGATTCAGATAATGTAAAAAGTTCATTTCAGAATGATCCTGAAATGAACAATAAATTGGTGAACAAATTTTCTGCAAAATCAAATTTGTTTGCTAACACGAAACAATTAGGAAATCAAAAAGTAGTTTTTCCAGTATACTTATTCATTTGCCCGAAAATTAGTAGCGAAAACAAAAATATTGTCGTTCAACCTAAAATTGATGAATCATCAAATAGAGGATAGGGATATATTCCGTACAGGTACGATTATAATATATCACCTTGTAGAAGACCAGACGCTGTTCTTTTATGATAAATTACCTCTGGAAGATCCCTATCTTTACCTAGGAATAAGTCAGTATGTTTATGTAGATATTCTCACAATGAATATCATTCAATTTGATTTGTTCACTGAAACATATACATGTATCGGGCAAAAAGTAGAATAATTATTGCTCATATTCTTAAGATTTTCATTTTGAATAGTTTGTTGAACGTTATCACGTTCAGTTTGGGACACTTTATAAAAACTTCTAGTATTTAAGATTTAACATTTGAACATTTAAGACTTAAGTCTCAAGTGGATTCAGTTATGGAAAATTAAGATTCTAGGGCGATACACGTGTTCTCTCATTACTGAAATCTAATTTCTGATACAGAACCAGATTTTCAAAGTTTAGTAAGTTAGAAACTGGTTGGAAATCAAAATTTCATGTTCTGATATCATTGTATTGATTTATATTTATATCACTAAAATGATACCCATCACATCCATTATATCTCCACATTATTTTGAAAGTAATCACTATTCCTTGCCTAACAGAAACTAGCTCACTTGGATCTATCGCCAAATATGGAAGCAACAGAGATGCGACATTCCGGTGTATCTTTGAAGAACGGTTCAGTATTCATCAGAAGAAAAAGAAATATTCAGGAATAACAACCCAAGATATTTTGAATAACTCCTTATACCATTTATGATCATTTATCAGCACTTCTTAAGTTGGAAGTTTGCCATCTTCTTAAATCTCAAATGTAAAATCATAAGTCCTAAATGGTTTTATAACATAACCAATGATATTTCCATGTTCCATTTGTCATAAGTGATAAGCGTTAAATGTTAGGGAATAAATCTTAGTTTTTTATAAAGTGGCCCTTTCTCTTTTCCAGTATTTTCTTGCAGCCATAAGATAACGACAAACTATAACCAAAAGAAAAAAGAAGATGATTCCGACACATTAGTTCAACAATTAAATGTAATATACCGATTCAGAGATTTCGACCTGAATTTCAACAAATCCACTTTTGACCAATTGACGCAGATTGAATCAACGGTTTTAATGTTTTCAACTTATAGTTATTTGAAAGAATTCAATATGTTATATTCAGAGTTTTCGTGGAGAGAAGATCAAAGACTTATCATTGAATCTCATGCAGAAAACTAGCTGAATATAATGTTGAAATATCTATGAATTTTCGAAATAAATGAACAATACGATCAGGGCCGTCTTAAACTATGCTGGGGCCCTAGAACACAAAAGAATTCGAGACCCTTTTGGAAAGTAAAGAATTTGAATATATACATGTACCATCTCATAGACTCTGTCTTGTTTAATATCATATGAATGATAGGAGGATCTAATAAAATATATTCATTTACTGATTCGTTTCTTTCCTTAAATGAAGAATTTATTTACATTTAAATCTGCTGGAAAACCTACAATGAAAGATACCCCCGATCTAAACTGATTAAAGTTGAGCAAAGAACATCTCATTTCCATCGATTTAATTCATTTTTTTCTTGGTGAAGAGGCCAAAATATAATATAGTTAGCCTTACCTCTCCTTATCCTCCCTCTGCTTCCTCAACTCGGGGAACACCTTCTCAAAGAACTCCCTATTCTTCGCGTCCTTTGCCTTCCTCTTTGTACTCGATTCGATCTTGTCTACCTTCCGCAGCCACTCCTGCATCATCTTACTATAAGTCTCCGTGACGTAGCTGTTCCTCGACTCCTTAGAGAATAAAATAAGAAAAATTGATTGATTGTCTTCATTATCCCAAGAAACATTATTGTTCATAATAGGGATATATACAACATAATAAATCAAAACAAAAATAATCGCACAATTATTGTTTTTCATTTCAAAAAAATTTAATATAAAATGAAAATATTAGAATTGATCCCAAGTAATCCAATATCTATCAAATATGGATTAGAAATATTCTGAGCAGATATTTCTTTAAATTGATTTTAAATCTTTCTGTTTCTTTTATATTTTTTACTCATAAGGGGAGGAGTTATATGAAATCATTCAACTATGGAATATTGTTTGTTTACCAAAATTTGACTCATAATCATTTGCTATCAATAAATTAAATCGCCTTGTTTCGTGGGCGTGAATAATATTGACTTCATCAAAATTCAAATTTGATATTTTTAATTCCTACCCGACAAAATGAATAAAGGTTTATATAGATTTACCGTTGATTCTTATGAAGGTGAATTGAAAATGTACTTCATTGTTATATTTTGTAATTTGATGAGCGGCTTCAAACGTGAAATATTTGTACTTCCCCAAATAGATATTAGATATTGTAAATTTGAATAGATAAGACAGAAAAAAATAGTAGATATCTAACAGGAATGGAATTTCGAATGTTATATAAAATAACTGCAATTGGATTCAGTTTTTTCCTCAAATGATCTCCACGATAATAATTGTTCATCAATATGAAGACCTAAACAATCTGTTGAATTCGAATATTCAATTGATTTGTTATTGAAGCATATTGGGGTAGTATTCAATATCAGTTGTTCTTTTTGAGATGTACTTATACGTAGATTTATTATAATTAAGACTCCACTTATTGGTCATTAGCCAAGATGATATGTGTTTCAAATCATTTTTGAGCATATTGGGGTAGTATTCAATATCAGTTGTTCTTTTTGAGATGTACATATACGTAGATTTATTATAATTAAGACTCCACTTATTGGTCATTAGCCAAGATGATGTGTGTTACAAATCATTTTTAATATTAGGGAGTTAAAGCAATGCAGAATGCGTAAGCGTAAACGTAGAATTTGACATCCAAGCATGCGCAGTATGCGAATTTCCTACGCCAGGAGGTACGTCTGACGTATGTTTACGTTTTGCTACGCTGGCGCTAAACGCAAATCGTATTGAATCGAGGGCGTTACCTATCAAAGCGAATACAAACAATAACTATTCGGTTTTTACTTTAACCTCACTTCCATCACATGAAATCACATTTGTTTTTTATTGCGCTTTGTTGTTGTGTTGTGCTTCGACGAAATCATTGACAATTCGAATAAAAGAATTGTCTTTTCCTTGAAAGATGATTCGCATCTCGCAAGGGAAGTTGTAGGCCATAATCCCTACGAAGACACGGGCCGTTGGAACCTCATCCAAATGAATATAATGTAAATTACTGGAAAACTTATAGCTTCCTGGTATTCCTAGGGCTCTAGCTAATCTTGGAATGTCATTTTTCGCAAATCGAAATAGATTTTTACATTCTATTTCAAATAAATTGTTTAAATTGATATCTCTATATAATTCCCTTCGATTACCTAAATTGTCGTTCTCATTCAGTACATGAAGGATGAACATATCATCTAGGTCATCGTCACTACTAGCATCGCTATCATTTGTAGCTTCGAATATCAAAATCTTCCATTTTGCAACGAAGGGTTTGCAGCAACAACACTGGAACAATATCCAAGCAAGCAAAGACTAACAAATCAGAACATTTGTATGGGAAAGAAAAATAGGGTTAAAATGAGTCTGGTCTTGTATCTTGTATGTACGTAAAACATGTACGTACCATACGGTAGCTTTAACGCTACTTTTCATTGAATACGTAATTACAAGTTTTTGTATTGGCTTTAACTCCCTATTATTATTGATATCGTTAAAATCTGTTGACGTATCTGCAAATAATTTCAGTTTTCCTTTCAATTTCAAAGTAGATATTGTTTCAGTGTAAATTGAAAATTAAATTGGCCCTAAAACTGGTCCTTGTGGTAGACCACATGTCATATTCATCAGGGAACTACAAGTATTATTCACATCAATATACTGTTTTCTATTCTTCAAATAATTTTGAAACCAATCATGCATGTTTCCTCTTGACACCTATTGATGATAAATATTATGATTTATAGTGTCAAAGGCCTTACATAGATCCAAAGACAGAATGAATCTTCAGGAAGAATCTAAAAATGCAATGAAATGCAGGACATTCCATTAGAATAATCAAAGTTGCTACTGCTTTCTGGTATTCGCGGCAACGCCGCATTGCTGAAAATATTTAAGATCGATAGACCAAGAGCAACTACTTGAGTAACCACATTTTCAGAATGATCCTGTCCCGTTCTCCGTAAACGTCTAAGGTACCATCGACCGTGACTCACCCTGTAGAAATTGACATGTTTCGCCAAATTTTCCAGATGACATCAGTTCAATAAATATCAAGTGCTGCTCGTTTTCAAATTGCCACCCTGTATATTAATATGTAGATTATCAGTTAGTGTCGGTGGCATGGAAGATCATTAATGTGAATGTCACCATTTGTGCCATATATCTTATGTGAGCACAGAGGTAGGTGTGATGGATGTCATTTCAGATAAGATATTCACAAATGCGGCATTCTGTCTTCGGATCTATGTAAGGCCTTTGACACTGTCCGTATATCATTATTTTCATCATCATAACATCATAATAAATTACCATCCTAAAATTCGTGAGTTAAGTACTGCAATTTTGAATACAACAATTTGAAAATAGATGTAACTTATCTGGAATCACATAAGTATTTGGAAAATAACAAAATAATTGGGAGTTGCCATTTATAATTCCAGGGGTAGTTGCCCTGACGGTGAAGAGGTTGAATATAATGTAACAATGAAATAGCTCAAGAGTTGTCCCCCGTTTTTCAAATTATCACCCAGTATATAATTACATATGTATGAAAAGAGAAGACATATAAAAACTTTACTGACATAAACAAAATGTACCCATTATTCATCTGCAACGCAGTTATTTCCTGAGTTCCGTCTTGAAATAGGATGAAGAAAAATTAAAAATACTTCTTGTATCATTTGAAAATATAATAATATATTCCTATTCAAGAATTTTGAAGATGAATATGCATAAAAGCATTCAAACTTCGTAGTTGCAAGCTGTAAAATGATGAATCTTTTTGAGTTCCTCAGATTCAAGTTATGAAGGTCTTCTCTAGAGTGCCTCAAACATCTCATTTTATCTTAATTCAATTTCAGGATGCGAATTTCGATCATAAATATATGTTATGTGGTCATATTCCCTTATGCAATATACAAATCTAAAACAGGAGTTTTGGGTTAATTGTAGTTTATTTTTATAATCTGTGGACAAATAACTATAGTAAACTTGTAAACAGTAATCAATATGTGGGTAAAGAAGTGATTCTACAGATTTTTGTTTTAAGATCACACTCAGAGTTCTAGCAGACTTATTACCAGGCAGTCATACTCCAGAATGTTGACAGTTGTAAAGTTGTTCATTTTGACTTTGGTTTTAACTGAGTCACTATCAATTACGAGAAAGCTACTTTTTTGCGTTTAGAGTTTAGCCCATCATCCTAGGACCACTTAAATTTTCTGGATAAATCTTCATTTAGAGATTGACTTGCTCTTGATGGCTCAAATGCTTTTATAATTTGGACATCATAAGCATAGAAGTGTCTAGATCATTGAGTAATTAAGCACTAAAGATCAGCAGTGTATATATCAGACATTCAAATACGAGAGACAAAAGGATTGTTTGTGAATTTTTTTACATTTACAAAACGTTTCATTGATAAAACGCTCTGAAAGTCGATCTGTTATTGCATGGATTTATGCACGGCGGCGACTGCTTGGCATCAATACATGTTTGATGATGTTTGGCGCCTAGGTCTATTGAATCAACAAACTATTACATAACCTTACTTACCGGTGAAAAGTCAAATTTGTATTCAGATGATCCACCCTTTTGCATACAATACATGAATGTACCATAATTCACAAAATATTGTTCACACAACTTACAAAAAAGTAAAAAGAAGTAGTTGGTTTACACTGATTGAGAGAAATCCCTGCACCACTGGCGCTCTCAAACCCCCTTTCTTCAATTGCTAATTACCCGGTACTTGTTGCCCCCTAATTACACAGTAACGGGTGTCCTTTGGTACGCCACTGAATTGTGCCATTTTTTTGCTTTCTCATTTCTCATTACTTATTTCATCATTACCCTGTACCTGTTTTCCTTGGTAACTCTGTATTTATCATGATTTTTTAATATGTCACTGAAATGCGCCAGTCTGTTGCGAGGGTGTTAATACCCGAAGTTACCAGAGTTCATTGAGAGGAAGAAGGCTGTGGTCAATGTCAGAAATGGTGATCAACATTATTTTGCGTGGGCAGTGACATCAGACTTCTTCTTCTCAATGAACCCTGGTAAAGACATGATAATTACAGTTATCAAGAAAAAGAAGCACAGAGTAATTAGCAAATCCAGTGGTGTAGGCGATTAAAAAGGGGGGGGTTGGGAGGAGAGGCAGTGGTGGAGGAATTTATCTCAATGTCTGTACCAACTACTAAAGGCTGCAATAACCCAGGTGAATCACGGGGAAACAATAAAAAGTCAGCGGCAATTTGGCAATCTTGCATTGGTTAGACCCATTCAAGAGACGCAAATCTCGTAAGAGTTGTGAAATGTTACACCTTTGGAGTTGCCAAAAGTGCTGATTTCTATGGAGGAAAATGATGACTACGGGTTTATTGAATAAACGTCTCAATTCAATGATTGTTTTCTGTTAAATCATTCAATCGATTGCAAACCTTTATAACGTATTTGAAAAATCGTACAGTCTGGCAAATTAACAATTGAATCAGAATCTCAAGAAACGCATGAGAGACAGTGGAACACAAGCAGCAGTATTACAAGTGATAGAATCAATCCAGAAAGGACTTGACTCAGGAAATTATGTGGTAGCTATTTTCATTGATCTCAAACAGGCTTTTGACACAGTTGATCATACAACACTTTTAGAAAACTTAGAAACAATGGCACTGTGAGAAATATTTTGAATTCATATCTTGAAAATAGGACAATCAATACGAAATCAACCAACTTTGTGTCAAATCAATTATTAATTAATAAGGGTGTTCCACAAGGCTCTGTTTTAGGACCTATACTATATTTACTTTATGTTCAAAATATCAGTGAAATTGGTCTAGCGAGTAAATATACTATGTATGCAGATGATACAGTACTTTTATATGACAGCAAGAATCCTTCAAATTCAGAAAATATGATAAATGAAGACTTGGAAATATTTGAAAAATGGCTCCACTGTAACCTTCGATTAATACTAAATAAACTGAATATATGATTTTTCACCAAAAAACTAGACAAAAAATTAACCTCAACCTTAAAATAAAGAATGAACTCTCAAAACAAACTGACCAGATGAAATATCATGGCATTTGGTTAGATGACAGGTTAAAGTGGAACAAACATATTGATGTTTTGACAAAGAAAATATCTCCAATTATTGGTACACTGAGAAGATGTCCCAAACTTGATATTAAAATTGCAAACATGATTCTCTACTCTCATAAACTGAGTCGTAGCGACTATTTAATAAATGTTTGGGGATCGTTTGAAGAAACATTTTTTTATAAAATATCAACATAATATAGAAAATCGTTAAAAGTACTGTATCCCATTGATACATCAACCAATCAATTGTATGAAATAACAAATACGTATTCTTTAGATGAAAAATATAGAATTGAAACTCCATATAATATCATAAATAAAAAATAGAAGTCTAATATTATTTTGCTATGGAATTCTCAAATTCATAATCATGAACTATAACTTGTTTCATCTTGACGCCGCTAGCTCCATGGTCGGACAAAAAAGATTCACTAATTCAGCCTTAACTGAATTGAATAAACTACCTGGCAATATAAAAAATTGCAGAAATATTTGTACATTCAAAAATGCAGTAAAAAAAAACTGATTATTTCTGAGCGAACTGGAAGATATTAATCATGTTATTTTACTATGTTTTTTCTACAAATACCATTCTTCGTTTGCCAACTTATAGTTCTTGATATATTTTGACTGATGAAATGTTTACCTATAGGTATATAATTATGTACTTCCTTATACCAGAGCCAGTCTGGAAGTTATTTGTTCAATAAATGAATAAATAAACAAAATGCTACCTTCTCCGCGTGCTTCTGCTTGAAGTACTCCAGCAGCCGCCGCTTGAACGCCATGTTCTTCCGCTTGTTCTCCTGGTAGGCAGACGCATCGCTGGGCTGATTGTACAAGGGCCATTCGACCTTCGGGCCTAGCGATTCGAGCTGGGCGTGGGCGGTCTGGGCCCTTTTGCGATTCTCCGCATAGATTTGCTGCATAACACGAAATCAAATTGTCAGTATCAATGAAATGTACAACTGAGACATGATTGAGGCCAACTAAGAAGAAAGTGGGACGAAACTGAGTTGTGTTTGTTTATCCATAAGGATCACCTTTTTCAATCTGTTTGAGGAGAGGAACTATAGCCCAATTATTTAACCAATTTATCAGATACTCAAAAGTGATGAAGGATAGGACTATTTGATTCAGGTAAGAATGGATAATTTTAACAAAAAATTGCTGAGAGCATGATTAAGGAGGATAGAAATATCCCTGATAATAATGAACAATGCAATAATATGTACTCTATGTCAGTAGTTCAAACTTCTGGTTCAGCAGGTCATCATAGGAATGTGCTTTGCAATATATTCGTTGTGGTCGAGCTTTCTTGGACTTAAAAACGTTATAGCATATGTCATTTATGAAACCATATACAGGGTGGGTCACGGTGGATGGCATATTAGAAGTACCTATCTGGAGAACGAAATAACAGAACATTCTGAAAATTGGGATGCTTTGATAATTGAACATTCTCTATTCGTCTGAAATGTTTTCATCGATACAGTGTTGCCACTTCTATCAGAAACAACTAGCAACTTTGTTATTTCGAATGGAACACCCTGTATTTTATTGCATTTCAAGATTCTTCCTGAGGAGCTGATTTCATCGATGAATCGTACTTGGGGTCAAGCAGGAATGATTACAGAGATATAGGGTATTTAAAATCTAGATTTTTCAATTTTAGGATTTTTTTTGTCGAAACTATTCATTACTGATCAAAACGGTGTACATGTCCCTATTTTAACTTTTGATTCACAATCTACTGGAATTCAATTGAAAAAAATACAGGGTGCTTCAAGATTCAGAATTCTCATCACCCTGTATCTGTTAAAATTAAATGTCAGTAGATTGTGGATCGAAAGTTGAGATAGGGACATGTAAACCGTTTTGATCGATAATGAAGTTTCGATACAAAAAAATCTCAAAATTGAAAAATCTCGATTTTGATGACCCTATATCTCTGTGATCATTCCTGATACACCCCAAGTGTGATGCATTGATAAAATCTGCTCTTTAGGGAGAATCTGAAAATGCAATGAAATACAGAGTGCTCCATTTAAAATAACGAAGTTGCTAGTTGTTTCTGGTAGAAGTGGCAACACTGTATCGATGAAAACATTTTAGACGAATAGAGAATGTTCAATTATCAAAGCACCCTAATTTTCAGAATGTTCTGTTTTTTCGTTCTCCAGATACTTCTAATAGGTTATCCACCGCGACCCACCCTGTATATACTATTACTATATATGGCGCATTGCCTATACGATATCTCAACAAAAATGGGACCAAATGAGAGGAACTTTTTGAATCTATAAGGACGGAAAGTGAAGGATGGAAAATTTGAAATTCGTAGCCATATTGGTTTAACAAGTTTCGTATTATTTCTCCCCTACGTCGGCATCAACGCCTATTGGTCGATTTCATTACCTATAGACACAAGTTGGTCCCGCTTTGAGGATAGCTATGTTTCACATATGAGTAGTAGATATATGGATAAAACCAACTATAACGGCCAATATCAAAAGTGGGTATGTGTGGTTGTCCAGGTCTGTTGGATGTAAACGGAATTCCGGAATGATCAATACCAGCATGGCGTACTAATTTTGCAAACACAGCACAATTAGAAACAAAATGACTTCAAATGAGTTTTCAAGCTGGAAACGACGACCATTCATTGCAATTATTGATAATACAAAATAATCAATTTATCACCTTCATAACTGTATACTGTCAATAGTGTCACTGAAATTCGACAATCACAAATCACAAAAATTACATTTCTAACGTAAATTAGCCAATGTGAGCAAGCAACCCGAATGGTTAATATGTGCAGGTAGTTCTTGGGTGTTGAGGGTTTCAAATGGAAGGAACCCTTAATGTTATTAGAACATCAAGATGTTTTTCTACCTTCTTCATTTTGCATAACATACAGGGTGTATCTAAATAACACCAAAAAATTCAAGGGGTGATTTTGTGATGAAAATTAAGGTGGCAGTTGGTATAAATTATTTGTAAAAGTTACACCCTTCTGAAAACTGAAAAGGAGGTTCTTCTTTTTCATTTCCCCTGTATATTGAGCTAAAGACACGAAACTTGGTGAATATTATTTGTTAATAAAAATACACATTTTGGAATATTTTCAACCCTGAAGTACGCTCTCAACTCCTAAGATATTTTTTCTTACAAGTGTTTATGGATAAAAATTTTTCTTTAAAAAAACATGGCAAATGGAAAAAACTTTTAGAGATGAGAAAGTTAGTAAATGAATTGGGCTCCTCAGTCATGTTTTTTCAAAGACAAACTTCAAAATAAAAGTTATAAGAGAAAATATCTCAGGTGTTGAATAATTCAAAGCATATTCCAGTGTTGAAAAAAATTCAAAATGTGTAGTTTTATTGACAAACAATATTCACTAAGTTTCGTGTCTCAAGCTTTATATACAGGGAAAATAAAAAAGAAAAACCTTTTTTTTGTTAATCTTCGGAGGGGAGTAACTTTTTCGAGAAGAGGTTTACCAAAAAAAAATTATACAAAATATCCACTTTTATCATCACCTCAGAATCACTATTCAAGTTTTTTCGGTGTTATTTAGATATTGCATTGTTACAAGATGTTACACTCTGTATATGGGTCCGGATGATTGATATATTATGTTGTCATCAGTTGTCTTTATAATAATGTATTTTGTCAGTCAAATACTGAATAAATAATACTTCTTAATATTGAATATCTGTTCATATAATATGGTGACAGCGTGAACTCAGGAAGAATAAAATCGCTCATATAAAATGTCAGCATTACAACCGCCGAAATCATTCGAACCAGATCTTGACCCAGCAGTGTCTTGGGAGAAATGGAAACAGAAGATTGAACTTTATTGGACTGCATCAGAATTAGATAAAGCCAATGTTAAGAAACAAAGAGCTACTCTTTTACATATCCTCGGAGATTATGGGTTAGAGATTTACAATACCCTAGAATTTACACAAGAAGGTGACGATTTGACGGTAGACATAATATTAGAAGCTTTGAGCAATCATTTCAAACCTTACGCAAATGAAACATACACCAGATTTATATTTTTTTCGTGTAATCAGAAATCCGACCAGTCCATCGACGAATATGTTACGGAACTGAAGCAAAAGGCATCGGATTGTAACTTTAAGGATTTGAGAGATTCCCTTATCAGAGATAGAATAGTTTGTGGGATGCAAAATAATAATTTACGAGAAAGGTTACTCAGTGAGAAAGATCTATCACTAACGACATGTGTCAATATTTGTAGAGCCGATGAAAAATCTAGACAACAAGTCAAAATCATATCAAATGGAAAGTATAAGGAAGAATTCCCTTTCAATGAGAATCATAAAATAGATAAAGTTAATATATCTGGTACAGGAAGATTTCATAAAAACAATACAGATGCAAAGAAGAGAACATGCTTCAGATGCAATATGTCACATGATTTCGGGAAGTGTACTGCCTGGGGAAAAGTCTGTGGAAAGTGTAAGAAATTCAATCATTTCGCAACGTGTTGTAAAGCTAGACAAGTGCGGCAAGTTGAAGAAGAAGATGATAATCAAAGAATCGAAGAGGTTCTGACTTTGGATACTATTGTAGAGGAAATGAATGTTTGCAAAATTAATAAGGAAATTTCAAAAGAATGGACACAGCTGTTGCGAGTATATAATATACTAGTTGATTTTAAGTTAGATACTGGTAGTCAAGCAAATATTTTACCATCCAGAATCTATAGAACGATTGATAATGCACCGGCTCTAAAAGCCACCACAACAAAACTCCTGGTATACAATAAAAACAAGTTGAATGTATTGGGGGTATGTGAATTACTGGTCTCTCATAACACAGTGTCAGAAAAACTTGGATTCTACATTTTAGAAGAAAATCTAGAACCAATTCTAGGATTGAAAGCGTGCGTTGCATTAAACTTGATAAAAAGAGTTTCATCAGTTTCTGATATGTGCAAAAATATCAAATCATCTTCCGAATTAATAGAAAAGTATGCTGATATATTTCAAGGTGTTGGTTGTATAAAAACACACTGCACAATCAGACTACAACAGAATTATGTACCAAGTATTGCTAGATGTCGTAAACTTCCTTTAGCCCTACATGAACCTGTCAAAAAAGCATTAGATCAAATGGAGAGAGATGGAATTGTTACAAGAGTTGAAGAAGCTACAGAATGGGTGAATGCAATGGTTGTTACACCGAAAAAAGATGGATCGGTTCGCTTGTGTATGGATCCTAGACCACTGAACAAGTATATTATACGACAAATAATTGAACTTCCTACATTTGAGACTATAATATCTCAAATAGGGCAAGCAAAATGGTTTTCAGTGCTAGATGCTTCATGTGCTTTTTGGCAGATACCTCTAGATGATAAGAGCTCTGATCTGTGTACTTTTATAACACCTTTTGCTAGATACAAATTTAACCGGTTACCTTATGGATTATCGAATGCTCCAGAAATTTTTCAAAATTGCATCAATAATTTTATAAATGGGTTAGAGGGAACTCTAGCATATATGGACGACATTTTGATATATGGAAATGATATAGAAGAACACAACGAGAGATTAGAAAAATTGTTCTCCAAAGCAAGACAAGAAAATTTGAGATTCAAGAAAGAAAAACTACAATTAGCTTTGACAAAAGTTAGTTTCCTGGGACATACTATAACAAGTGATGGAATTAAGATATCTGAAGAGAAAATCAGAGCAATAAAAAATATGAACAGGCCTACGAATGTGAAAGAATTACAATGTTTCTTAGGAATGGTGAATTATCTAAGCCGCTTCATCCCGAATATTTCAAAAATTACTGCCCCTTTGAGAGATTTACTGAAGAAAGATTCAGCTTGGATTTGGGAAGAAAGTGGTCCACAAGAGAAATCATTCAAAGACCTGAAGAATCTTATTATTACTGCTCCAGTTTTATGTTACTTTGATCCAAAGCTTCCGGTGACATTATCCACAGATGCCAGTCAGTATGGTTTGGGTGGGCACATCAGTCAAAATGACCATCCCATTGCTTACTGGTCTATGTCATTGAACAATGCCCAGCGAAATTATGCTCAAATTGAGAAAGAGTTGCTCAGTATAGTTTTGGCATGTGAACATTTTCATTACTATCTATATGGACGTCCTTTCATCGCAGTTACAGATCACAAGCCTCTATTGGGACTCATTAATAAGCCAATTGACGCACTATCTCCTAGACTTCAGAGATTAGTAATAAGATTGATGAAATATAGCTTCACTTTGACATTCTTGCCCGGAAAGGAGCTGTATATTCCAGATTCATTATCAAGAGCACCATTGAACGATGAAAAATCGACTGAGTTTGTTGATGATTTTAAAGTTAATGCGGTTCTTATTGTGAGTGATAAAAGATCTAATGAACTTTTAGAAAATACAAACAAAGATCCGGAATTGCAAGCTGTAAAACATTATATACGCAATGGATGGCCTAATCGAATGTCATCTCTCAAAAGTGAAGCCAAACCCTATTATCAATACCGAGATGAAATTCATGAACAAGATGGATTCCTTTTCAAAGGTAATAGATTGATCATTCCAAGATCAGATAGATTAGATATTTTACATCGCATACACTCTACTCATCAAGGTATAATATCTTGCCAGAAACGTGCTCTAGATTCAGTGTTCTGGCCCTTTATAAATGAACAGATAGTAAATATGGTTTCATCTTGCTTGACTTGTTTACAATATTCAAGATCAAACTCAAAGCAACCACTCCATCAGCATCCTGTTCCTGCATTGCCTTGGCAAAAAGTTGGAATTGATTTTGCTCAGGTAGGAGCCAGAAAGTTTTTGGTTGTTTGTGATTATCACTCAAAATTCATCGAACTGATTCAAATGTCGAAGAAAGATGCTTCATCAACAACTGATGCATTATTGAGTGTATTCAAATCTCATGGATTACCCCAAACATTGATGTCAGACAATGGGCCACCGTTTGATTCAATGTTCTTCAGAGATTTTTGCGTGAAATATGATATCATACATATAACGTCAAGTCCACGTTACAGTCAATCGAATGGGTTGGTCGAAAGACATATAGAAACTGTAAAAGGATTACTCATAAAAAATCCACTCAAACACCCTTATGAAATTATTATGGAATATAATAGTACGTCGAAGCAGAACTTACCTTCTCCATCAGAAATGTTAATGGGAAGGAAATTCAGAACACTCTTGCCATGCTCAGAAAATATACTCAGGCCTAAATTTGATATTGGAAAAAATTTGGAGATTCTGAACGCCAATCAACAGCGCGCAGATCGATACTACAACATTGGTAAAAAACCTCTTACTCCATTGGTTAGCAAACAACCTGTGGTTATTCAACAAGACACTCGGAAATGGATTCCCGGTAGAGTTCTCAGAGAAGAGAACTGCCCTGATAGTTATATTGTGCAGTCTAATAATGGTGGAGCCTATAGAAGGAATCGAATCCACTTACGACCTATACCTTCTACTTCATATACTGGACCCTCTGCTATAACTTCGAATACTCATACCAGGACTATTGACTCCTCAAATTATCCAAGTTCATCTACTCAAACAGCAAATGCTAACTCAGATCAGGAGATCAATCGACCAGTAGTTCCAAGTCAGGAAAGAGTTTCACAATTTGAAGAGGATCGAAATCGAGCCTCCACAACTAGTGAAGATTTCAACTTTGATCGTTCTAACCCTACAAATGTTGATCCTCAGCCATGCTCTTCCAATCATTCAAGCATTAATACTCAAACAAGTTCCAATGGTTCTATTGATTCGAAATGTTTCGAAAGATCATCGAAGGGTCGAATATTGAGGAAACCAGTGAGATACAAGGACTTTGTTTAGTTCCACCCAGATTTCATTTTTAGGGGGACATGTTACAAGATGTTACACTCTGTATATGGGTCCGGATGATTGATATATTATGTTGTCATCAGTTGTCTTTATAATAATGTATTTTGTCAGTCAAATACTGAATAAATAATACTTCTTAATATTGAATATCTGTTCATATAATATGCATGATTTCAGCTTCTAGTAAAGTTAAACTATTCGTACTCGTGCCATCGCCACACATACCTGCGGCAAACTCTGGTGCTTCGGCGCCATCACCTCTTCCACCTCCCCCTTCACCGCCGGCTTGTTGGCGATCTCTTCCAGCTCGGCCTGCTTCTTCTTCAGTATGCCGATCTGCGACTCGGCCTTCGCGATCTCCCGGTCCACCTTGCCGATCTGCTGGATCAGCTCGTCCTTGGTGATGCGGAAGGCGCGATCGTCGTGCGTCGACTGATCCGGCAACGTCGGCGAGATGGCCTCGACCTGCGGGTTGTACGCGCCCGGCTGTTCCTGAAGAAGAATAAAAGGAAGCACGGTATAGTGGTTTCCGGAATATCAAGATTTTTATTTTCTCGTGATGGTTAGAAAGATGAATATTTAATTCGTTTATATCCAAGGCAACGTATGCCAGTAGCACATCTAGGATTTAGTTCTGGGAAAGAGTAAATGTTCAATAATTAGATGTATAATATAATTTTGCTGCCTCTTCTTCAGTATGCCTGCGACTCGGCCATCGAGAACTCTCTGTTCACCTTGACGATCTGCTGGGTGAGCTTCCATGGTGATAAAGAAGGCGCAATCATCATGCATCGACTGATATGGCAACGTCGGCGAGATGGCCTGGACTTGCGGGTTGTACGCTAAGGGAGAAAAAAAGAAAGCACGGTATAGTGGTTTCTGAAATATCCAGATTTTTATTTCTCCGTGATGGCTGAAAAGATAAATATTTAATTTGTTTATATCCAAGGCAACGTATGCCAGTAGCACATCTAGGATTCAGTTCTGGGGAAGAGTAAATGTTCAATAATAAATTAGATATATAATATAATTCTGCTGCCTGTTCTTCAGTATGCCGATCTGCGACTCCACCTTGCCGATCTGTTGGGTCAGCTCGTCCTTGGTGATGCGGAAGTAGGCGAGTGGCCTCGACCTGCGAGTTGTACGCGCCATGCTGTTAGATAAACGACGCACGGTATAGTGGTTTCCGAAATCTCCAGATTCGAATTTCCCCGTGATGGTTGGGAAAATTCATTATACGGATGATACTCATTATTTGTGCTACTGATTCCGCGAAAGAAACATATCAGTTTGAATCGTGTCTAGTTTCCTCCAGTAATGTACACCTGGTATAGACGAACCAATTCGCTGAATTTCGAAACATAACTAACGGAAATTACGAATAATAATGTGAACTACCCTTCAGAACATCAAACAACTTTTGTAGCAACACCGTTACGCAATGGATACGACGATACCAGAAATACGGCGTTGTCGCTTTAGGAGTAAGAAATATCTTATTCTGAGTAATGACATACGCGACAATTTTTTCAAATTGAATACCTTATGAATTATTCAATTTTTGGACTCTCAATGGAAAGCTGAATTCAAAATTATATCATACATAGGGGTTTGTATACAGCCCGTTCGTTGAATTCATTGCTCTCATAAAATAAGGATGACATAAAAAAATACCCATGACGTCATTTCTTCTATCGAATCATTCTGAATGTATTGATTTGATTTGAGGAAACGCCCAAATGAAAATACAATTTCAAGGCTTCGAGCTATCATGGTAATATTGATGGATTTTTTACGAATTTATCCACCACTTTACTAGAGCATACTGAATTTAATGGACGCACTGTATACAATCCCTAAGTGTGATTTATTTCTGATTTCAGTGTTCTATCAAGGTTATAACAATTCAATATTATATAAGGTGTTCCAATTGGGAGAATTGTCTAATTGTCCCTCATAAATATGACATATTGAATATAATTATATCCTCAGAATTAGATATATCATTTTTCGATACATAATAGACTCACCAACAAACGACCAGCATAAAACTTTGCCAAATCGGTCGTCCTGTAACTTCTTTGATACTTATCTGATTTTGCTGAAATTTTGACCAAATTGTGAATTTATGTTTTGAAATGACAACCTGGATTTAAGTTTCCAAAAAAAGCTGACGGCTTGATCATGTTACAGGAAAAAACAAAATTTAGCAAAAGCGAATAGAACCAACATGAACTTCTCCATTAACAACTCGAAAAAACATCTAAAAATTGATATCACTTATTTCCATCCCTTTATTTTATATAGCATTCACCAGCAAAGAGAAACCTCAATTACTGAAAACAAACAAAAAACAGACCTCCTATAGATGTAGTCAATAACGAGTATGCCCTCCTCGAGCTTGAATTGCAGCATTCAACCAATGTGGCATCGAGTTGATCAAATTTCTCGAGCAGTTATGAGGAATTATCTCAAATTATGCTAATAGAAGGACGTAGCTCTTGAAGAGACTCTGACAAGGCCGGATGAAGGCTAATAAGCCTCTATAGTTCATCCCAAAGATGTTCAATAGGTTCTGAATTATAATAATAATTCGAGTAGGAATTTTAAAAATCCACACCTATCTTCTCTCAAAAGAACATGATGAAGCAGTAGGTGGGAGAATGCATGGTTCTGAATTATTGTTAATAAAAAATAAGAAAATCCATTTTTTCTTGACACTTGTATATTCTTTTAAAAAAAGATATTGACGTGAATCAAGAACCATTGTGATGAGAAGGGATCACACTTCAATCCGAAACATAATGAAGCTGAGTTTAACCACTCACCTCTGCCACAGAGCGTTGAGAAGTTAAGGGTGTAAGAGTAACTTTTGTTTTTCCTGCCTCGGATCAAGCCTCAAGAATTAAAATTCACGCTAACACTTCGAAATATAAATCTACGATTTGGTAGAAATTCCACCAAACTCGGACAAGAATTAAAAAAGTTACAGGGCGATCAATTTGCAAATTTTTTTTTGCTGGCCGGTTTCTTTTGCCTGTGAGTGTAAATACTATTTAATTTTCTGTGGTATTATCCAGAAATGTTGTTTTCTGTTGGGTATTTTATCAATGATTTACTCATTTCTCGAAAAACTTTAACGGCTTGTTAACAGTCGAAAACCCCCTAAAATTTTTAGAAAGCGAGTAACAAATTCACCGGTCGATAATTCTCTATCTCCTCCCGTACAGTGACTTTATGAAACAGAGTGGCAACAATAGTGATGCACTTTTTGAGTGGTCGGACCTCAATATGGGGTTGCACCTATCTGTTCTCTCCATTCAATTCCACGCTTTCTACTTTCCTTTGTCACTGTTCCTTTACGTTTCTCGCTCTTTGGAGACAAAACAATCCGAAAATGATGAAATAAAAATAACAAATATCCAAACATCAGGTGGGCACTTCGAAGGCGCAAATTCATTAATGCATATGAGATACCCTTCCGATTTTCAGCTATTCAGTGACTTGACCACGTTTGAGATTCCGGAAACGGCAGCCATTTCGAGGTCTATAGGCGACTGAATTCAAGATCGCAGCGCCAAAGTGTCCAGTTATCGAACTATATGAAAATACATTGTTTTGGCGTGTGTTCACTTTTGACTGTATAGTTGTTAACTTTTGTGATTCGAGGTAGCTTTTAGCGGATATTCGTTCAATCAAGTATCTTTCAGTACTTCAAATACCTACATGAGATTCGCAAAATACGTTAGTTTGCATTTCGTTCCTACTCAGCAGTAAAATAAATAATACAAATTAAGTGGAGCGAATATGATGTTGAAGTTCACGGAGTAGGTATTTGAGATGTATATTGTGTGTCCCAAATTCGATTCTCACCATTGGGATATCTCGGTAACTTCGAGAGATATAGACTCGCTTAAATTACAAAAGTTTGAGCAAATTCATTCAATCTAGAATCCGTCGAAAAATCTTGACTAGCTTCAGTCATTTCTGAGCTATTCGAGAAAAACTGAAATTTTGTATTTTCGTTTTTCTCGAATATCTCGAAACCTATTGATTGTATGAAAAGACGACTACAACATTGTGATGGTACTTTTCAGTCTTTTAAATGGTTTTGTCGATTTTGGAAAAAAAATATTAGAAAAGGAAAAAATTAGTTGGAGGTCATATCTCAGAAATTTGATATTTTCAACAAAAACTGACAAAACCGTTCAAAAGATCACTGAAAGTACTATTAGAGTGTTGAGGTCTAGATTTTTCAACAGATTCTGAATCATGATTGAATTTTCTGAAACTTTCTATGTCTCATATTACCACACTGTATATTGTAGTCGATTTATTTACATGTGTTTGCAAAAGAGAAAAAGTCCTCGAAACTGGATGTTATGTACAAATAATGGATCTACCTAGTAGGAAGAATTGAACATGAGTACGGATTCAATTTCTTGAAATTCCTTCTGTAACTTTTCACTTCTGGGAATAAAATGCACTGATATCAATTTCGAAGTTCCTGAAAGTGATTCAATTATACACTGATTGAAATCATCATTTTCTGTGAAATGCAGTGAGATAACTTTCATGAATTACATGTGAAACCGAGCAATAATCCAAGATACTCTATACTGAATTGAAACTCGAAAAATATCACAATGACAACTAAACTTTCGATAAAATGCATGGAAACTTGAATGTAAATGAACGTGCAATGTACTTTACATTAGTTACTTGAACATCCGCAAGAGGTCGTATTGCTTATTTTGAATCGCCTATTGTCGCCATCACTATTTAATCTACTCACTCTACCCTCCGGTACGTACCCGTGTATCGATCCTGAGCGGCTGCACGCCCTCCTTGTCCTGCAACCGGATCTTCTTCAGCGGCTGCTGCCCGCCCGAGTACCCGCCCGGCCCGCCCCCCTCGACACACCCCATCCCCGCCTGATGCATGCTAGAGTTGGAGTGGGCGTGGTCGCGCATGCCCCTGCCGCCCGGCCCGTACTCGCTGTGCAGCAGCGAGATGCGGTTCTGCCTGTTGCCGCCACCGCCGTAGGTCTGGTAGTCGCCGCCGCAGCGCGTGGCCAGCAGGGCGGGAGCGGGCGGCTGCGGTTGGGGCGGCTGCTGGTGGTGGTGGGCGGCGGCGGATACAGCCGCGGCCGCCGCCACCGGCACCGCGGCGGGTTGCTGCGAATACCTCTGGCATACCTGGAGAAACAATGATATATGTTTGATGGATACTAGATAGAATGAAAATGTCATTGACAGGTGTCATATTATCAGGGGTGCGTTCGATTATTGACTCAAAGTTATTTTGAATTGACTCGGCCGTTACTTGATGGAAATCAATGACAAATGTAAAAATGTCACAAACGATAAGATTTCCACAAAATTCTCAAACACACGACACGTTTCGCTAACACAGTAGCTTCGTCAGGTGATATACTGATACGATGCACTAAACTAACATTGGCTTGCTTATACCAGGTGTCCCAATATACCTGTTCCAATGAATTATCTCAGTCATTTCGAAAAATAAAAATTCGAAAATCTCATGATCTCCAAGTCGTTCAAGGAAGCTTCAACTGAGAAAAACAAAAATTGAAAGTCACTTCCGGTTTGACCGGAAGTGAGTAACTTTATCATTTCAAATAACACCCTGTATATTTTCTACAATTTTTGATTTCTACTCAAAATTACCGTTCCAACGATGTATCACACTTCGTATTTTGAATTTGATTTGATGGAGAAAACGACAATTGAAATTTCAAATCGAACGAATTGCAGTAGGCTACGATATTTTTGTAATCTTGATTTTGACTTCGATAATAATTTAAAATTATTAGAATTGTAGTAGATCATGTAATTTTCAAATTTTCATTTTTCGAAATATCTGAGATATTCTATTGGCACAGGTATACTGGGACACCCGGTATATCATACTTTCCCAACCTGAAAGATTAGTTACCTTTGGACAGGTTCGATAAACCTCCATTGTCGGAAATTAGGCAACCATATCTACATCAAGATACGGTGTATAGAATTAACTTGAAAGGGTTGATATCAAATATACATATTATTACGTACTAAGAAAACGAATTCGTTAAGTAAAATGTCAGAATTTTTGAGTTTGTTGATTTCTAATGATTCAAAATGATTGAGTTTCATTCCTTTATTTTCTACGTGTAGAATTTCGAAATTATCATCAAAACTATGGTTCTCTTCTAATATATGGTTGTCGTATGTTGAATTTGTTTTCTTTTTCAAAAAATTCATCTTATGTTCATGAATGCGCTGATTAAACGTACGACCTGTCTGACCGATATATACCTTAGGACAAGATTCACAGTTGAGTTTGTACCCCTGATTTTTCGAATTTAGAAGTTTGGTCTTTATTATTCTTGATAATTCTTCCCAACGTGTTATTTGTTCTATATGCTACTTAAGTCCTGTTTATGTAGAAATGAAGCTAATTTTTCAGTTGATTCCAAAATAGGTTAAAGTTACATAATTTTGATTATAATTCTTGATGGTAGGATAAACTTCTTGAATAGCTTTATTATGGAGTTTTTTAGGAAGAATACTGTCTATCAAATTAACGTTGTATCCGTTGTTCACTGCAATCTGTTTTATGATATTGAGTTCTTTATTTAATATTATCATTCATTCAATAAAGAACTCAATATCATAAAACAGATTGCAGTCAAAAGGGAAAATATGTGATAATTGTATGATTATAGGTATGACTCATTGGAGCTTATTGTAATAATTTCGGAAATCTCGTTACGCAACAGCATTCACCGAGATTTTTGAATTACAAAATTTATTGTGCAGGTATTAAAGACATTCTAACCTCGTAAACGGCAATTCAATTCAAAATCACTATTAACAACATTCAATTGAACATCACAACTCGATTGACAATAATATAAGACTGTTGCTGGGAGTGCTCACAGAGGAACCACATGGGATGGATGAATCCATTTTATGTGGACCAGCGAAGCCAAATGTGGTATCTATCAATCTGCCAGCAATAATTCAACTTTATGATTGACAAAGCAATTCTGATATTTCTGACGACAAAAAAAAAGATAATAGCATCAACTCTCGATTTCCAATCCACTGCGCTCTGTGCTGAAACCGCAATATTTGGAACAATTGAGCCAGTGCCACTTGTACTTGCTCTGTGCTAAAGCCACTGGATGGTATTAGTTAGGTAAGAGTTCGGACACAGAAATGACAACTGTTAGTGTTTTTGACTATTTAGATTTATTAAGTTACTTTAAGTTAATGCAAGGTGTGCATTGTGAGAAGAGCACCATAGTCGTTTCACGCTCTTCCATCAAGAATTGTTCGATTTGACAATACATTTTTTGAACATCACAATTGAAATATAATTTCTTAAACTATTGAGAAAAAGTATGAATGAAAATGTACGCTGTGTTATGAGTTGTGAGAATTCTGAAGAGAAAACGGATTTAATTTATTTAATTTTACAATGGAAATATGAACCATTCTCTTACATAAAGGAATGTATACGAGACAGCCTAGATGGAAAATTAATCTGAATACTAGCAACATTTGTGAGCTAGGTACTTATAAGTATGTATACATACATTAGAATTCACTTCTTAAGACAGCATAATGAAACAACTATATCTTAGGCCCATTTTCAAACAGAATATTTCAAGATTCGTTTGAGAGAATCTGCTGTTCCATCCATTCACAAAACAGTCTAGTTCGAGCACAGTTTTACATGCTAATGAGGAACTAGTTATAAGTATATCCATATTATGTGTCTATTTTGTCAAATTAAAATGTTGTTACATCTATTCTCTCCATTTATATAACTGTTGTTCTGCAGAAAGTGTATCGCTATAAATAGTAGCGGGCGTTTATACCCTTTTTCCATTTTCCATCTACGGCTATGATTGAGTTGACACAAAATCTGACCTCTAAAATGGTGTCTGAAAATGAGACGCTACTAGGAAAACTGGAAAGATAAAGCGCAGAATATATGTCTTATTCTTTTATTCACTCAAACCATTGTAATATGGAAAATAGAAAAGGACAGACAGAAGTTCAGGTGTGTCCGAACTCTTCCCTGTGCTAGTGCGCTCTGTAAATAGACGATGTGAAAACGCTATTAGTTTATTGACATCTGGAATTCTGGGATTGACATGAACATGTGGGTTTGTCCAGTTGGATTGTGAGTTTATTTCAGTCAGTTCAATTTATGAAATGAGTCAATTCAAGGAGTAGAACTTATATTCCAGTTGCAAATATATAAATAATCAAAGGAAGGGAGGAATGCTCGAAGTCATCTCCACAAATTTCAATGGTGTTGTTACACAATAATAAGGGACATGTTTCGGTCTTATAAAAGACCATCTTCAGCCTAATTGAAAGTTCTACAATAGAAAAAGATTGATGTGAAAGAATTACATAATTTGTTATTGACTTACATGGAGTTGACAAAATGTGATGATAGTAGTTGTGGAATTGTTGTCAATGCCCATAGTCGAAATATCGAGTTTATGAATGAAAAAAACGGGTTCTCAATAAATGAAGGGCCCCGTGCCCTGAGAGCGCATACCATTCATCTCATCGAAATTTCATACACCATTTTGGTATATCATTTTGGTTGTTGTTGAAATTATAAAAATATTATACCGCCAAAATAATTTGCATACGCTGCCCTGGTTTAGGAAATCCCGAAATTATCAACTGAACATGTCGTGGGACATCTCACGTAATGACGTATCTCATTAAAATCGGAATTTGAGATACCTCGTCAAATGATTTATATTTCCGTGTAATTGAGAACTCATCAGCCTATCTCAAATTATTGGACTACCAAACCTCACGAAGTAACCTAACTATAGAAGTTAGGTCAGTACATGAGATATACAGGGTGCTTCCTAACAACGGTTTCTAACTGCAGGGGGTGATTTGTTAGACCATTTTTATAAGAAAAGTTCCTATGAACATATGTCCGGAGTTGCTTCGTTTCTGAGATACAGGGCATTGAAATTAAAGAAGAAAAAACGGTAATTATTAAATATCATGAATATCCTAGAACCGATTTGGTTGAAATTTGGTACTTCCATTTGTCAAATTTTCTGAAATTTCAGCATATCAAGTGTCAATTATATTTTGGCAGAAATAATGAAAAACTCATTTCTCCAATGCAGGTGTTCATGATATGCAATACAGTGGCTTCAATTTTTTTCTCGGAAACGAAGCTGGATATGAAGAAAATACAGGAGACCAAGAAGTTGTATTTTGACTTGCTTAATCTAAAAAATCAAAAATTTACCAAAAAAAGTCAGTGGTAATTTTTTTTTACAATATTGTTGGCTGTGGCGTTCAGTGAGACGCCCCAATAATTTCAATCTGAATAGGGCTAAATAAGCGCCTCATTATTTCAAATGAAAGTACCAAATTTCAACCTAATCGGTTCCAGGATATTCATGATATTTTGTAATTACCGTTTTTTTCTTCAATTTCATCGCCCTGTATCCCAGAAACGAAGCAACTCGGGACATATGTTCATAGGAACTTTTCTTCTCAAAATGACCTAACAAATCACCCCCTGCAGTTAGGAACCGTAGTTAGGAAACACCCTGTATTTTTATTATTTGTTAAAAATTCCAACAGTGACGTTTCTCACAATCGGGTTCGCGTGGAAATTGAAATATCTAGTAACTTCTCAAGGTACTGAAAGGGTTATTGTAAGGTATTGTACAAGTCGAATGAATTTCTTCGTTTTTTATCAATAAAAATGAATAATTGGGTTAGAATTTACTTTATATTCATGGACGAATACATATAAAGACACATTGATGAACATGTGGCGTATCTTACAAACTTTTTTTTCTTCGTTTTTGGTGATGCTTTTTCGAAATCTCACCATTTCATAACAACTATAGTTCTATATATAGTTAATCTACTAATAAATAAAAAAAATAATGATCTTTCATGAACAAACCTCTGAGCTATAAGCGAATGAGGATGATAAATGATGATAAAATCTTTGTTGAATTGTTGTCCTGTGAAATTGAGAAAACTAAGATACGTCACTACGTGAGATGACCGTCAATGTGATGAAGAGGGGGCTATTGTGGAACAATAATTATTCAACGTATGCATTTTTGCAGGCATATTTTCGGTGTTACTTTTGCAAAGTATTTAATCATGATACAAGCATATACAAGTTACCAACATCGAAAAAACGTTGCAAAAAAATCTGTGTTTTTCTACATACATGCAAAAAGCAGAACTTTATTGAACTATATTTAGTGGAAAAAGAAGTTCTTTTTTGCACTTAGTGCAATAAAGTTTTTATTGCACTCATCTGTCATTTTACTTCAACGTGCTGTCATCATGACAAACATTTTTTATATTGCAACTGTGGTTATAGAAATGTCATATATTCATATTGAAAATTGCACCAATTGTTCATTCACTTTCAACATAGAGGGTAAAAATAAAGTTTGAGTTAAATTGTTCGTAACGTATTAGTTCCTGTTTCAATGCAAATCGATATTAATAATAAAGTATTCAAGTTGCGTTTTTCATTTTCCTACACCTAGTGCCGCACCTCAATAAATCATTTTTTGATTTTTGCATGAACGTAGAAAAAATGTTGTATGCAACTCGTGCAAAAATTGTTTATTGCACTCGACGTGTTGTCCAACTCGGCCTAACGGCATCGTCGGACAATTTCACGTCGAGTGCAATAAACATTCACTTTTTGCACTTGTTGCATAAATAACTATTACCAGCCCGTCTATACCCGGTGACACAGGGTATCAAGCCACCCCTGTAACTTCTGCATTCGTGAACGGATTTTTTTGAAATTTGGTACAGTTATATAAGCAACCATTTCGGATTCGATCACATTATAATCCAACCGTTTTTCCGAAAATGCTAGTACGTTTGGTTTGGAACACCGTGTATATTTTTACATATTCTAATTCAACAGGTCAAAACGAGTGCGATCTTTATATGTCAAATGTAATTTTTTCGATAATTTCAAAATCAAAATTGTTATTCTATTTCACCCCGTGGATAAATGAGATGAGGTCATAGATATTCACAATGAGTACCACATACTAGAGAAGCATACTTTTTTCTGAAAAACTTGTATGTCACTTATCGATGAATCATTTCAGTCCTATCATATCTTGATGACAGATTCAATTTTTTCAAATGGAACCCCAATGGGCCACTTATATGTATGTATCTCTAGTGTTAGAAACACTCCAAAGATACCCACCAAATTACATTAATCACTAGTATTATATTATCATTGTTATTATATATGTTGTGTGATCCAGTACCATCACCCCGTATTATGTTTAGAATATCAACGGGTGCTGGTTTTATGACTAAGAGATATTGAGTGCATGATTAAGGAGTTACATAAGCTAGATAAGAGATGGTGACAGGCGAGGTGACAGGGAATAGTTAGGATGACTAGTAGAGTTGAGACTAAAGAGCTGTAAAGGTTTTTTTGTCCTAGAATACAAACTTGATATTTGAAGACGTGGATATTATTTAAGCAGCTTCTCAGTTGTCCCCCCTTAACACTAGCTAGAACATACATTGAGGAAAAAAATGACATCATTTTTGTATTTCGGTGTAGTATTTTATACATTCAAAAATCAACAACTATAGTTTTATGAATTTTCTTGCAGTTGGAATAATTTTTCAAGTAAGCTGTGGAAAACAACATTTCTGAATCTTGTCATAATAATATGTGAAAATATACATCAAGCCATTTGAAAAAACGAAGATTCTGGCATTTCCAGAACAACCGGAAGTCCACCATATTAGATTGTAATGTGATCAAATCCGAAATGGTGACTTATATACTAGTACCAAATTTCAGAAAAATTTTTTGCAGAAGTTACAGGGGTGGCCCGATACTCTGTGTCACCCGGTATATAATTCCAGCCACCCTGCACAGAAAAAACAACAACTTCAATCGTATATACAGAATGTTTAAAAGAGACGAGGCAATTACCAATTACCCCGTAATTGAGAAGAACGCCTAAGGAATGCCTTATCACAAGCGGCCTCGACGATTCATCGGTATTCGTAATCATCGAAGATTGAAGCAGGTTCAGTCATTAGCATCGTAGCATCAGAGCGAATCACTTGTCGATGTTGTATTTTTATAAACGGTGATCTTTGTACAAGCCATCATGAGTATCTAAAAATGTGTTTGAGTGTTGAGATAGTGTCTATCTACGATGCCTCCATTTAGAACCTTATAATAAAGTTTTTTTTAAATAATGTTTTTTTTGAATTAATTCAAATACAGGGTGTTCCTTAATGATATGCTGTTATTCAAGAGGCCGATTCTTCGACCCATTTTAAGAATGAAACTTCATATGAACATATGTCGTAAACGTTCTAACTTTTGAGATACAGGGTGTCAATGTTGAAAATATGCATAGATTATTTTTTTGTCCACCCTGTATAGTTTTTGTGATGGCAAAATTCAGTCTGCTATGTGACTGAATCGGCATACAAATTTCAAAATGTTACATAAGGTGGTTATCCAGTAATAGTTGTACTGAATGGAGTACTCAAACATCAAAATTTGAAGTCTGGTCTCGTTTTTCCGTTTTTTCTCGAAAACGAAGCGTTCTATCGAGTATCAACAAGAGGATCTTTTTTGTACATAATTAAATAGCCTTTTATAGCATTGTTTGAAATTTGAAAATATCTCATCGTTGCTCACTTTTAAGTAAAATATAAACAATAATTTTCCCGTAACGGTGCCACTGGTAGGGAAAATGAAAATTTTTGTGCATCAAAAAATGCACCTTGATACATAAAAGACGTGTACCAAATCGCAAAAAGATGTATACAATATTGTCTTAGTTATCATCAAAAAACGGAATATTTTTCAAAACTTCATCACCCTGTATCTCAAAAGTTAAGACTTTTAAGACATACGTTCATGGGAAGTTTTCTTCTTAAAATGAGTCAGAGAATCACCCCCTCAAATATTAGCATGTCTTCAAGGAACACCCTGTATATCTTCTCACGGCTTTGTTTGGAATTTGGCAGCCTTGTTTCTAAAGATAAGGGGCTGATTTGGAATTATTGGGGAACCTGAGATATAGCGACTAAAACTACAACTCTTTCGTCTCCTGGATTTTTCTCATATCTTGCTTCGTTTACTGGATAAAAGATAAAAACTATTTCATTGCATGTCCAGTTATCATACAAAAATTTACAAAAACTGTTGAAAGTGACCACTTGCAACAATGACTTCAGGTGTTATTCGAATGTCAATCATGTTGTATCTATCAAATTTGATGAAGTTCCGTAACATGAATTACTTAAAAAAAAAAAACTTCAACACCCTGATTCTTGGAGACAATGCATTTCCGAACCTGCATTTATGGGAACTTTTTTCCATGAAATGATCTGTGGAATCAATAATAACCCCCTCAAATATTGCCACGTCTTTTTTAAACACCCTGTATATCCACCCCTAAACCTAAGACCTAGGACGCTCACCTGGTTGACGGCGCTCCCGGGCTGCGGAGCCGCCGCCGCCGCCGCTTGCTGCAGCTGCGGCGATGACGGGTAGGGGTAACGGGCGGTGGATAGGGGCGACCTGGACGGCTTGTATAGATCGGCGGGCGCCGCATGCGATGGCTGGTTGTGGTTGGATCTGCAACAGGAAAATATAATACGTTAGTTTTGGCGAGATTGTTACGATCTTGTCTGTCATAGACCGTATTTTTTCTACTCGATTTATAATGATCAATATAACACTAGTTGACTAATGTATTTATTAATCAACTCCGACTGATATGATATAATATACAGAGAACAGCCCGGATTCGCCTATACGACAGCTTCTTAAAAACAGTACTGACTAATCGAATTGGTGCCAGAGCCCAGAAGGGCCGCTAACAGATGTAATTTATGCCCACTATTGGTTTTCTAGGCATACTTGAAATATTTGGCGAGACACATTTAGGCCCATCATATTTGAAAATCGACTACATGCCCTTGTATTATGGCAAAAAGTCTAAGCGAGCTTGAACCCTAAGCTTACTAGCCCACATCAAAAACCTTCACGTTTGAACAGAGATATTGTTGCATTTTCTTCCTGGTACAGGGTCCTTCGCGACGAGCTGATTCGATATGTATACAGGGTGACCCAGAATAACGTTCGAACACTCTGGGAGGTAATTCGAATAAGAAAAAAATGTTCCTGTCGACATGTGTCCGAAAATGCTTCTTATACAGGGTGTCTCAAAATTACATAGAAAGATTCTAACCACAGATTCTAGGAACGAAAGTAGTAAAAAAACTTCATATAAACATGGGTCCAGAAATGATTCCCTGGGGGGTCATGGCCACCTGGAGGAGAACCCGAAATGATAGTTTTATGAAAATATTTCCGAAACTCTCATGCTCCTAGCTTTTCATTCCTAATTTGAAAACGTTAAAAATTTTCCGAAACTTTGATCAAGGGCGTGAAAAATAGGTGGGATTCGGGGCACTTTTTCCCCCAACAATCATCATTTTTACTTAAAAATGTCACACTTGTTCAGTGTCGATAGTACTCTGCATTTTAGGATAAATCAATTTCAAAAGTCTGTACATATAGCGTAATAGAAATAGTACATTTTCCATACCATATTATTTTTCAATTCATTCTTTTCATTGAACCCCATATATTTTGATCAAACATCCAAAGTAGATCTTGAAATTAAGGAGTATTTTCCATCAAACCATAATTTTCGGAAAATTCGGTAGGTACCCTATTGAAGAAACAATCACGATATTCATGACGCAGCAGAATTTTTGAAACGATTTATCAGAGTACCACTTTTGAGTAAAAAAATTTGAGATCTACATATTTGCTAGTCAAAGTGCCGAAAATTGCATAAACAAAAAAGTTGGGCTGCTGGAGAAAAAATGCACCTGGCCCCACCTATTTCCGATGCTACCGATTAAAATTTTGGAAATTTTTTATTAACACTTCCGGATCGGTCATAAAAAGTTGGGTACATGTACGAAATTTGGTCATATCATCACAGGGGGTTTCGGAAATATTCAAATAAAATCATCATCTAGGGATCCCCTTTACATGGGTATAACGGTATAACCCTCCAGGAGGCCATATTAAAACTAATGTTTATATAAACTTTTTTGACTATTTTTGTTCTTAGAATCTGTGGTTGAAATCTTCTTAGGTGTTTTCAAGAGACCCTGTATAAGTGCACAACAACCGTCAGAAGATAGGTAGGTCCTTGACTGCAGTTTTCTTCAAATATCTTTGCCACCATTGATCCTAGAATCACGAAATTTGGTATACATAAGTATATAAGAATAATTTGATCTCACAAATCGTTTCATGGTACTCGTAAAGTTTCTTCTGGTGTAATAATCAAATTCGAAATAATGTGAATTTAGTCATAGAATCACAAAACTAATCACTCCTTGAAGTTTGACCACATCAGACTTAATAGCACCCTGTATACCTATCTGGAACTTAATTATCTGAAATTTTGTATACGGGGGTGTTCCAAGGTGCTCGTTCCAACTGAAATATTTTCTTGAAGTTGGGGTCCATTTCCGGTATTTCCGGAAGTTGTAGAAAACAGAAAATATTTTAGTTTGAACGAGCACTATGGAAAACTCTAGTATAAGAAATTTCAGAAAACTAGTCCCAGTAGTTTCGCACATACATATCACAGAGCAAACAGGGAAATATGCTCCATGATTGTGTAAAATGATAACATTTAATATGTTATGAACTTGTCATAACATAATGAATTTTATCATTTTACAGAGACAATCATGGAGTATATTTCCCTGTTTGCCCTTAAATTACGCTAGTTGTATGTCTACTTTTTCCATTTCCATTGGCTGATGGTGTACTTATATAAGTCCCAAACATGTTCCTTCACGATTGATCTTTGATCATTCTAATATATGTTATGGAGATGACTTTGGGTTTTCATCTATGGACACATTTTACATTTTAAAAAATCGCATACACTTTCGGTTCCACCGGAAGTACATACGATTGAATCTTATGAACACTGATGACTCGGCTTCAGACCATTGTGATAGACAATGGGCGTGTACACTCGTGTACACCTTAGTAGAACTTTTAACTCAAACCATGTTTATAATGATCCTTTTATACATAAATAATGATTGACGACATAATTCGATCGAAAAATTAACTGGAATGTTTTATTTTTGGACATAAATAATAGAACCTTCTGAAAACGGACCCTCTTATGACGTAGAAACCTCATCTCGCCATAGTTAGTAGAAAATACCAAACGCCCGACGGTACTGAGGCAACTGATATATTAATTCTTTCAACTGTGATCTCGCGCTAATTAAAATCGGGGATTTCAATAATTTTTTATAAAACGTAGGGAGCTCACAGCAAGAAACGGTTTGCGGTGGTGAGCTAGTTTGGGTGGGTTCTATCGAATAATGACATAATTTTTTTTTGTGATATAAGCCCATTGGTGTCTTATGTGGCGAGTCGAGTGATAATATTATTACATAACCAAGTATTTATTCTTGAAAAAATTAATTACCTGATCTGGAGAAATTGTTTCCGAAAGGAGACAGAAATCCAATAAACCCAAAGAGAAGAAGAAGAAGAAGAAGAAGTATTTTAAATGGAACCTGTATAGAGTGTAGATATTTCCACGCCATTCAATGAAGCAAACAAGCCCCTTTTCAATGACAAATCACAATAATTGTACATATGTCTTCAAAATGGCGGAGCATCAGACTTTTTTCTAAAATCAATATTCAAGCAACCTAATAAGATTTGTAGATCACAATGAAAAGTTTTTGATTAAGCATGCAACCATTTATATTCATTGCCAAGAAAATTAGGATTCACTCGAATACATTCCTTCTCATGAATTTTTTTTTATTATTGTCAATTTAATTTCCGACTGAAAAATCATTGAAGGTTGTCATAAATGATTTTTTCGAGATCCTTACCCAAAAAACAAGAGGCGGCGAAGTGTATATATTTATTTTCCAGATTTGAAATAATTTTTCGGAGCGCTGTCAATATGTTGAAAATACACTATTTTTCACCCATCAAAGCACTTTCGATGTATGAAAAATCTTCCTTTCTCAATATATTAATTTCCGATTTTTTTTTTATTTTAATGGTATTGAAAGAATTTGATTTCCTCATGATAAACTTTCAACTGAATATAAACTTCGAAAGATAAATGTGCCAAATAGATTTTTCATATACTGGAAAATTATTTGGTAAAAAAATTATTCGATTATCAACTTGAAATATCTAGTCGTTATTTATTTCAATACAGAGTTTAATGCCAATAGATCATATTATTTCAATTCATTTTATATAGGTAGTTATTTGATGATGAATCTGACATATACACCTAACGTGTAGGCAACGATAAATTGCTGCAATAAAAATATGAATGCTGCCATGAAGTCGGAGAAGAACTGAACTGAACTGTGTGTATGGAAGGAAATGAGAAATTTGAACTTCTGAAGAAGCAAGATAGACAAAATATTAAAACATACCTGACATTCAGAGTACTTTTTGGTTGAAAATGAAATAACTTCAACATTCCAGATTAAAATATTACTCCTAAATATCTCGATCAATCCCACACTTCTGACCATTAGTTTATCGAAACCTCACTCGATCTCAACTCAGAATCAGAACTCACAACCGAATTTAACAAAGGAAATGCACGAAGCACGCGCTTACATACCGACTGGACCGACTTAATTCTGATAACTGTTACGAGGTGCACGCGGAGTGTGCCAATTTGCCGTAATAATTCTTGTTCGTTCGTACTCGAGAAACATTCGTCAACGATCGTTATTCATTTCACCTATAAGAGTAATTCGGTAACAAGTTACGGTAATACGATCAAAATTCACTCGTCTGCGTTAATTATCATAGGTTTAGACATTATTGTCATTACAAGACCAATGGAGTTAATTGATATACTCCCGATAAAACGTTTGTAGTTATTGCAACTAGTCGTTGGCGTTATTTTTATAAGTAATTGATTGAAGCCATAAATAATATATATTAGAATCAGAAACAATTATATTTATTACCTATTTACCCCCATGATTTAATTCAACTATCGAATATAGGTATAGCTTGTGGAAATCCAGCTGATAAAATATATCCAATGCCATCGTTAACAACATATTTCAAGAATAATCTGCATATACCTATTCCCATAGGCCTGGGAGTCTGTAAATAATTCGAGTATCTGATTAATGAAGTTTGTGATCAAAAGACATTACCCCAACCCAACAATAGAATAACGTGACCATTAATTATATGCGAGGTCATTTATGAACATCTTCCCTACAATAAAATCAGGCTACAAATAATTCTGCCTCATGAGATAAAACAGAACCAACAGACGGTAATAAAATAATAAACAATAGTCTGATTTCTTTGTTTCCGCAGTATCAACGGGAATAATAATTATACGTGGTTCATTATATATGTTATATGAAGACTCCACAGGACCCCATTGTTCTCCAGAGGTCACCTCTATCCAGTGTTTACCAGGCACCACAAAGACCTCCTTGTGGCGCAGAAGACGAGGCCTTCAATTCAGCAGCTTCTAGAACTTCGCCACACTATTTCATTGTTTTTCCTCAAGT